GTATCACCTGAGTGGTATGGATACAAAACCGTATCATTGTTGTGGGACAACAGAAAGCAGTTTACTACTGTCTTATTAGCCGTTTACCTGTAAACTCGATATACTGCGGCAGATTTTAATATTTATAGGTTACTCTAAATATTGTGACATATTTTTGCATCCATGCGTTACAGGGGCCATAATACCATCGAGCTTTGGCTTGGTTATGCGGTCTGTTAGACTACCATGAGCAAGGTAAGGGAACGGTGAGAATACGCCATATAAATACGAAGAATTTATAAAAGGAGATTGTTATTCTTTTCGGAGGAACGGAAATTTAGCAACTTGTTAGTAGCTCATTAAACGTGGGCAAATTTTCAAATCACTTTTTTAAGTGCACATTTTGAAAAGAGTTTGCAGTTTGCTAACTTTTTTTTATGATTTTGACATTTGGCATTTAAAGCAGGATCGAAACATCATTTCTACAGCAGTTTTACAAAATTATTATTAAAAATCGGTTGAAACTGATTGTCACTTGTTCAGCAGCCATTTATGACATTCGTCGATACAGTTACTGTCTTTCATTCTTTCAGCGATTTGAGCTGCGCGAAATAATTCATAATTCACAATCAGATCCTCAGCCATTTGCTTCTTACACCAAACAGAAAGCAAAATGATGACTTTTGAAACGGGGGTCATAATGATTTTAGGGTAGAGCCATATTAAATGTAAGTTGTGCCTCATAAAGCGTACTTTGCACATAAGGCCTAAAGCAAAAATTGCTTACCACTAGTTTTTGCGGCGAAGCTCGGTACGATCGGTGGATTTTCTTTTGCTGGTGATGATGCTTTTGACGAATCTGAATTTTCAAAAGCCATTTTAAACAAAAGTTGCAAAGTACGTCGATATTTACTATCCTCCTGATATATAAACACAGATGAAATGCATTGCCAAAAGAAAAATCCAAATATTAGATATCGAGTAGCCACTTTAACCATCACGTCTGATGCCAATTTAACGAATGAGTCATGCTTTTGATGAATACAAAATCCTCCGTATAAATTTGGCATCGCAAGTGCAATCACCACCACAAAACACCGTTTGCATTCTTCATGTTCATGTGTTCAACCTGTTATTCTCAGTTCATACCATCATTCTTCGTGCTTTACCCAGTCACAAGAAAAATAGCTTCAATACAAAACATCTTAATAGTGTAACCTTGAAAGCAGTTAGAACAATCAATCACACTGTACTCCATCTGCATGATGTTTACAAAATCCCGTAAAAAATACTGAGCTGTCCCGTGTCCAACTTTCGATGCTAAACTACTTGCGCACCTGCTTCCGGTAAATCGTCATCATCTGCAACTTCATCGTCAAGAACTTCGTGCATTCCTTCAACGTTGCAAACATGATTAGATTTGATGGGGTACGACGTTCATAAAAAAATTTTATGTATGTTTCAAGCACGTTTCAGCTCTTATTTCTTAATTACCTTCCAAATTAAAGCGTGATCCTTAAATGAAGCAGCTTTACGGGAATATTTTTGCAGGTGATAATTAATGCATATTTTAAATCAACAGACGGTAGAAATCGCTGTAGAAAAACTATCAGCTGATAAGCAAAAATCGCTTAGCAAGGAACCACCTAAGCTGTTGGTAGAAAAAGGCATGGAAGTCTGGTTCATTGCTTTCATTCTTAAAGTCTGAATTTTAGGCACCGATGATTCGTACAACGACATTTTTGAGCTTCTTTATGAGAGTGACATCTAAATAAAACAAAACAGAAATAAACATCCATATCATTTGAAAAAAGAACCAAGGAATTCAACTGATATAAAAACGTAGCAGATAATAAGTGAATTCATTCGTTCCTTCGTTCATTTTCTTTATTTACACACCGTTTTGTTAGTTTGTTATCCTTAGTTTGTTTATTCATCGATTAACAGACCGATTCATTCACTCGTTTTTTAATTCATTCAGTATCGTAGTCAACTATTTCTCTTAGAAGCGATGCAGCAGCTTTAAGAAGTTTCTCAAATGGTCTTCGTCGTTGTCCAATAAACGATAATCTTTATGGACTGAAATTCAAATCGCAACAATGCTAGATACTAAATATATCGTACTGAAGCATATATGAGTCGATTTTTATATTTGCGATAAGAATAAGCTCCTTTCCCATCCTGATAGAGGTTAAGAAGTTAATTTAATGAACAAAGGTGATTATAAGCGAAGGTATCTTGAAATCATTCTGCGTACCAGGATTCATCATGGTAATTGAGGAAATCATTCAGATTCCTTTTTCTCTGCTTCAAATACGTTTTTACCTCACATGTTGAGTAGAAGCAGAATAAAAATTTTCCGGTTTTGTGCAACCAACATTTTCCTGTCTTACACAGAACATCACAGCTAGCTTAATTTCCGTTATACAGCTACTTCATTTAAAAGTTTAATTTGTCATCAATTACGGTTGAACAGAATACTGATAACCATTACAGCTTTGGCATAGCAAATCCTAACTTTTGTTTGGGAAACAATCTTGCTGGTGCATGCTTAGCCTACTTATGTTGGTGTGGCGGTCGCTTCAATTTTTATACGGGGAAAACTTTGACCTGCAAAAGAGTCGGACTCGTAACATCTGTGCTGTACCAGATATTTCATGTGTTTGTATTCTAGCGCCGCTTGTCGACAACGACGGGAGTAGGAAGAAACGATCTCGTTAATCGAATCTCATTGGCTCACGGCACACGACCACCAAGAAATCATCATCGTCTAGCATTTGGTAGACGATTGGCACGATCAGGAAAGAAACATTTACGCCTAATCCACAGGTGTGCGACTAAGAATTAGCCATCAGGTCCTGGAAACTCGCTAGTCCCCTAAAGAGTGAAGAACAATGCAAAAAGAGCTATTTCTCTCTACTAAGCATGTTGACAACGAAATGTACTAGTATCGTTATTGTAATAATTCTTTGCTATAGAGCCGCAGTCGAATGTCATACTGGCATGTCGACACAGCAATCAGAACCACTTTTATTACCTTCCTACAACTCGTGCTTCTCGTTTCTACTTGTCCGTAATTGCTGCATTTAGGAAATAATCCTTCGAGGGAAACATCAAGCAGTCAGAGTGCCGGACTCAACATCTAAGTTGCTAACAGAGATGAACCAAATGAGCCAAAATTGGTGATTTCCACTAAATTTATTAGTGTAAATAAAAGAATCTTTGTATTGTTTTATTTTGTGGTTTCTTGCCCGCAATTTGGTTAATATGCTGTAGAGTAGTAGATGAAGAATATCAGGTATCATACAATTCTGCTGTTACCAGGGATGCATGTTAAGTGAACTTCAAATGCAATAGGATCTTAAATCTAGCTATTCGTTTAGTGAGGAATTAATCGACAGCCCTAAATGAGTGTGCCATAGGTGAATCCACCAGCTACGTTGAATTAACAGTGAAAATAATAAGTCATTTTTCAGCGTTTTCATACATTCACACTTGATTAGATGATTCATTCTTACATGACTCACACATTCAAACATTCATTCTTTCGTTTATTCCTTCATTTTTGTTCATTCGTTCATCAACTTCAATTGCCCGCTGTTCCTTCCGCATTGCGGGGGCAGCTGCAGAAGACTTTACCAATTTTCTCAATCCTCCTGGAATCATGTCACTTCAAT